CAAAGACTGGTTCATCCCAAAGATCCAGTCCCCCGGCACAAACAGAGCAATGTTGTATATGCTGTTCAGTGTCAGGAGGGCTGTGATCAGTCTTACGTCGGGGAAACTAAACAGCCACTGGCCAAAAGGATGGCCCAGCACAGAAGATCAACATCATCAGGCCAGGACTCTGCGGTCTACACTCATCTCCAGGCCAGCGGTCACTCTTTCAGGGATGAAGATGTTCTCATCCTGGATAGAGAGGAACGATGGTTTGAGAGAGGAGTAAAGGAGGCCATCTTTGTGAAAAGAAATCGTCCATCTTTAAACAGGGGTGGAGGACTCCGGGTTCAACTGTCCCCCTCTTACAATGCTGTGATTGTTAGTATCACTTAGCCCTCTGTGAGTAGTAAACAGCCATCAGTGTGCTAATGATCCATTGTTAGGCTGATGGCCCTTCTTGAGCATGTGATCAGCTGGTTTTGGTTGTCAGCAGCAAAACTGGTTGATCCACTCTGTGAAGGTGCTATTTAAGAGACTGAGCTGAATACAGCACCTCAGACTGAGGAAGTCTCTTGGATGAGAGACGAAACGTTTCTACATTTTTTTGTTGTTTTGCTTTGCTTTGTTTTTTTTGAATGTCCAGAGGACCAGATTGAACTTTTTTAGATTGTTTATTTGTGTTTATTTATGTTTGCAACTCTGTTCGGTAAACTAAGTGAATTAAATGTCTTTGTTTTAATTTGGCAAACACTTCCACTGGACTTCATAAGTACTGCAGTATATATATTAACTTTTCTAAAAGAGTGGGAATAAAATCCACAACAGCAAAACTGCAATCATCATCCTAACAAGAACATCTGTTTGGTGCACGTGAGACCTCTGGTGGCGTCCTGTGGTGTAAAGCTGGGGGGATTCTGGATACAGTACTGCCTTTTATACATGCTGAGGTTGTTTGTTTTTTTTTTTTACTGCAAATTGTTCAATTGGTTCAGTTATTTAAAAAAGCAGTTCACTTCTTTAATGGCTCTTAAATGGGTGATTCATGCTTTTATTACCTCCCAACTGGATTATTGTAGCTCGCTGTGTGTTGGTGTTACCCAGGCCGGTGGCCTCTCACGGCTGCAGCTGGCTCAGAATGCTGCAGCTCATCTTTTACCAAAAACAAAAAGTGTGAACACACCTTCCTGGTGCTTCGTACTCTTCATTGATTCCCTGTTTGTTTTAGTACTGATTTTAAAGTTTGATTGATGACATACAAGGCCCTGAATAGGCAGACTCTTGTATATCTATCAGACCTGCAGCCTTCTTTGTCCTCCAGATGTCTTAGATCTAACGATCATTTATTTGTTTCCCTGAAGTCCAGGCTGGTCCACAGAGGTAATCAGGTCTTTAGTTCTCTCAAGATCCAGGCCTTGCTCAAGGGCCCAGAGTGGGGCAAATGAGGGTGGAGGCAACTTTCCCACCTACATTTTGGTCTGGGGTGTCAAACTGGCGATCTTCTGATCACAGGCTCGCCTTCTCATACCTCTGCCCCACCACTCTCCCATACAGTACACATGAGTGTAGTATATAGTATACAATAATAATATCCTGGTACTACGCACACACACACACACACACACACACACACACACACACACACACACACACACACACACACACACACACACACACACACACACACACACACACACACACACACACACACACACACACACACACACACACACACACACACA